TCTTAATTAAATACCGATCACTCAAATCGATAAATAACCAAGAATCCTCCTTAGTGGAGTCGCCAAATTGTAGGAGTCGCTCAAAGTGCGCCTACGTTAAAAGCAATTGTGAATATGCTTGGCACTCATAGGAAGTGGGATTTGACATAATACGATTAGAGACAAATAAAGTAGGGAACCGCCAACAAGTTTTTAAGGAACTTGTAAACCGTTCACGGATCATAAAAGGCAACCACGATTAAGGACAACGATAGGCAACAACGATTGACCCGTGAAGGTTACACCCCATTCATAATCCATGAGATTACTAACTCCATATGGTTCGGAACCACGAAGGAGGATCATGGATGATGGTAAAAAGTGAGTCATGGAGTCACATTCGCCCGTATTGGCCTCTACTCAAATTTTATAGTGAAAATTGATTCCTGCAATCTGAAAGGCATACAAACAAAATATTCAATTTGCTCCAAACTATTATTTGGCTAAATTGGTTGAATATTAATGAAACACATAATTCTATAAAATTTGTGATCACTTGAATTAAACAACATGATTAAAAAGGAACCTAAACCGGTTGTCCAAATTATCTTATTACGCGTGATTTTCAATTACATATTCCCTTTAACATGCAATATGGTGATCATAAAAAATAAATAGATTAAACATCAACATTAGATGCAATTTAACAATAATTCCAATAATATAAAATCGTTAGAAAAATAATAGAAATAAAGGAACATAATTCTTACTTTGATTCTGTTTGCTTGCAACTACAAAATAATAAACGAGTTAGTAACTTCAAGGAAATAATAATAAACCAATAATTAAATTAAATAGAATTGATTTGGGGCGAAACCCTCAAACTGTTATACCTTTCAGGCCTTGGCTTAAGGACATAACCACGAGTAAAGTATGGACTCCTGGGAGTGCTTGAAGAAGGAATTTTGAAAGAATAAGGGTAGGCTAGTGTTTAGGCTAGAACATAGAAGAGAAAGAAAAAATAGAGAATTAATTGATGCCACGTACATCAGAAATGAGGGGGTATTTATAGAAAAAAATGTGCTGAGGGAACACACGGAACCGTAAAATGATAAAAACCCTAACAAAGTATACCGCGTCACGGCGAAGTGAACCCTGACACAGGAAATCCTACCGTCAAACGGGAAACATTCCCGTGTCACGGTGTACTTTTGTGTGACGCGGGAAATATATGCTGAACAGGAGAGAAAACGCGTTAAGGGTTTACGCGGAAAGGACACGAAAACCCCCGTGTCACAACAGGTGTCCCGTGTCATGGGGAACCCCACCGTCAGACGGGAAAGTTTCCCGTGACATGGTGGACTGTTGATGTGACGCGAGAATTTTCAGTCCGCTTTTCCGTCTAAATTCATTTTTAACCCTAATTTCGTTCAGCATTTTAAGTGCCGATTGATAATTTCGGGTCATTTCTGATTTATTATTATTTAGGCTAAAATAAGAAAATGAGTAAATAAAATAAATAAAAGGTTTGGGCAAAAATAAATAATAAAATAATAAAACAAAAAGGTTTGGGCTAAAATTAAATAATAAAACAGTAAAATAAGTTTGGGCTAATATTAAAACTATGCTTTTTGACCAAACATTAAGACTGGTCCATGGTCTATTTGAAAATACGAATTTAATTAAACACAATTTTTTAAGCACTCTCGGGATTAAATACTGAACCGACCAATAATAGCAATGAAAGGTTGTTCATCATCGGGTTTGGTTTTGGGGAGACATTTTTAGGTGTCTACACCTGGAAATTAGCAAATTCATCCAAACAACCAGTATTGACTAAAACTCTATCAATTCCAGTACTCACCCTATTATTGCCATCTTGTTTATTGTTCCAATTATAGAACATACCCCAAGTTTGCTAATCAAAAAGCTGAGCATCTCTCACATATTGGCTAAAAGGTTCAATCAAAGTGAGAAAACAGATCCCACTCTATCTTCCAAATTCAGCACATTATTAATGTGTTCCAGCTAAATTTTTAATGTGTTCCCATAAATCTCTTCTTTCACTAGCTTCGTTCAAACCATAAACAAAAGTAATTTCAAACTGAGTACAAGTAGCTCTATGCACCACTTGGCAATGAACAAGCTGAACCTCCACCTTCATTACAGTCACATCAAATATCTGGGGTAACCAAATAACCCAAATTCTACCGCCTTTATGTTTACTGTAATCAGCACAAACTGACCAGTCACCCCTACTCTATCAAAAACAGCTTCCTATCCTTCATTTTTGTTTTCAGGAGGCCAACATACCTATAAAGTGTTTTCTTAAAAACTATAGGACATCACACATTCTACTAGGCATATTCAAACCCCTCACATTCCAGAATCCTACTTTATCCATTAAAGGGAACAGAACATTCCCCCTCCTCTAATACACTAAATCTACTTCAACTTTTACTCACCATGAACACACAAGCACCTTATCCATATCAGCATTCATTGCATTAGCTTTTGATATATTCCTTTCATCTGGAGCAACAACTGTCATAGCTGGTTTCTGCACTGGTCTCCATTCTTTCCTTGGAGCACCATGCTTCTACCTCCTAGGTTGCTGCTTCTCCTGCACCCCTTTAGTTTTCCTATTTCGAGCTTGAACCTTGTGATTTGGACATTGAGGCTCCTCATGTCCTATGCCGTTACCCATTGTACACACCACTGGCTTCCACTCATACACAATTTACTGAGTTACATTGTTTCCTAACTCATCCAGAAACTCAATCTGGTTTGGAAATTCATCATTAAACTTCATTTCCACCATAATTCTAGCAAAATCTAGCCTCTCTTTAGTCATAGTAGCCCTATCAGTTTTGATAGGTTTACCAAGTTGGGAAATCAATTTCATCAAAGTGTTTTGACCCCAGTACTTCAAGTCCAAACAAGGCAGCCTTATCCAAAGAGGAATCTCATTAACTACTACTTTGGAGAGGTCTAAATCTGGTGCCCATGGCTTAATAACCATTGGCTTTTTATCAAACAGTATAGGTGCAGTCTTCATAGCCTAAAAAAACACCATTAGAGTGCAATGAGACTTTATCCACTCCAAACTTACCCCAAATTCGTCACAGGAACCCATTTATCACTACAAAAGGAGGTGTAACCCCAACTAAATAGCAAACCAGAGCATTAGCCAAAAAATCAATTTCAGGTTGAATATCCTCCGTAGTAATCTAAGCCTTATCTCCATTATTACCAACATTAGCTCCAAACTCTGAAAAATTACACCTCTCATCTTCATTACCCTCAAACAATCGTTCCCTCCAAATTAATTGATGCACAGGATAATCGGGAAAAATAGGGGATTGAATTGGGGGAACAACATTAGGGGTCTCAGCAATTGGGGAAAATCTATTACTAGTGTAATTAGCATCCTCAAGCATCATCAAAGGAGTTGGGTTGTCAAAATCAATAACACTAGCACAACAATCAGTTCTATGAACCTCCTCATAAAATGAAATAGGACGAAGATTGTAGTACCTTCAGCCATTGATTGAAATCATCCTTTTGTTGTTCACGTTCTTCTGGAGAACTTCCTTCACTAGAACCTCATTCTCCATCATTGAATCCAGCCAACTTGCAGCAGAAACATCATCGGACTTCATACTCTGTTCCTGCCGCTTAGTAAAATTCCTCGTTCTAGGCCCTGAATTCTGCTTTCCTTTTTGTTATTTCTTTGATTTTGATCCAGAATTCTTGCTTCCTATTCCTTTCTTTCTCTTTGCCATGGAAATCGAGCTTAAATTCTGAGATCAAAATCGTGAGTTTCAATCGGATTTTGCACTTTCTCTCTCTAGTTCTTGAGACTTTCTCTCTCTAACTTTCATTAAAATTTTTTATTTTAAGATGATTCAATATATAACGGGATTTATGGCAAGAGTTATGCGTCGCTTAACAGGCATTTTGGACTTTATATATTAGCTGCTTCTTCCCCATTTTCTCCCTTCTTCTTCACCATTTTCATTCTCAATCTCCTTATGTTCTCACTTTTTCTTTTTTTTTTCTTTTTTTTTTTTTATTTTGACATCTCTAGTCACCGTGGCACGAAACCCAGCACCGGTGCGAGGAGTACACAACCATGACGCGACGTCTATTCCCGCTCCAAGGTCGTTTTGGTTTGACCTTTTTATACCGCTGCTGCTGTCAGACGTTCGCCGTTGCTGTCACAGGGTCACCGTGACAACGGGGGATCTCTACCCTGGCGCGGCATTAGACCACCGTGTCGCGGTGGTTGCGCTACAACATTTTCGTGATTTTTTGAGCTTTTGGAGCTCAAATCTTCAACTAATTCGTTCCAATTTTTTGCTATTTTCCTTATTTTTTATTTCTTACAAGGATCTATGTAAGTTTCCTTTGTTTTTGTCTCAAATTTTGTTGTTAATTTCATATTTGCTTGAAATCCTAAAAAAATCAAATTGAAGGTTTTTGATTTTGAGCTTCCATGTCAAAATTCTTCCTATGAATTGACTTTTATATGAATATATGTGTGTTTGTGAACAATTTGAGACCAAGTTTGTGTGATTTGGTGAACAATTGAGCAAAACACCATTTTTGGTACTACTTGTGTGAAATGGTGTTCTTGTTGTTCATGTTATTTTTTTGCACTTGAAATCGTGATATATGGGTTGTAGATCTAGTAAAATATGCCATGATGTGTCGATTTATCGTTCTTGTGCAATTTTGAAACATAATCTGTTTTATGTATGTACTATATTGTCATGGAGAACATAGTATCATGCAATTAGAAGAACTGTAGTATTAGTTTGTCATGGAGAAACTAAATACTAGAAATAATTCCACTATTTTGTTAATTTTTAGCCTTGAGGTAAAAATATTGCGTATAATATAAACTGCAACTTGAGTAGCTGTTAAGCCGCTTTTGAATAAATAACTAAATAACTTAGGAAATGATGCTAAGTATTTAGATTTTTGGTTTTGTAATAGCATGCCTAGACAACGGGATCGCGATCTTTCTACTCGTGGTGGCGTTAGGCTTTTCGGGAGGACACTCCCACACTTTCTGAGGGCATGGACGACGATGACCTAGAGACCAAGCCTCGCCCTAGAGACAAGGCCTCGCCCTTCTTCGAGTAGGGGTAGGTGGATTCCACCACCGTGGACACCTGACGAGTTGGTTTTCTGCCGTGAGAACCACGTTTCTCACCGTCCACTTGCCGGCATAGTCGATGGCACGCTTCGCCATCATGGATCTTGAGGTGGAGATTTGGTTCCCCGGCTATATGATAACGAGGGAACCTGTTACAAACACCTTGTGGGAGTCTGCTGGTTTAGGAGATTTCTATTCGACGGTCGTTGGATTTTGTAGCCATCGAGGTTGTGGCCCGACAGTAGTTCGTGTGTTGTTGGAGTATTTTTGGGATACTACCAACACTTTTCACTTTGCTTGGGGGTAGATGACAGTGACTGCCCTGGATTTTAGCATGATAAGCGCCTTACGCTACACCGAGTAGGTCGTACGGCAGATTCCTAACCTCACTTGGGGGGCGGCTGAGGTAGCAGATTTATTAGGTTCGGTCGTTTAGCATATTAGGAATCAGCCGGTGCCTTGAGGTTGTCATAAGAGTGGGCGTTCAGAGCTGGCTTCTATTCTGGCCCGTGGCTTTGACATGGATGAGACATCACCTAAGCAGCGAGTGCGGATCTTCATTTTCTACCTTCCTTTTTTATTCAGGATCAGCAAGATAGGATCATGTAGTTGGGCCAGCCTTGGATACCACCGATCTTCTCTCGTCGCTACAACATGGATGTAGGCAGCTGAATGACAAGGCCCCTGTCACTGTCTACGGTTTATGGAGAGTCGTAGAGGTGACGATCTTTTCTTCTTATTGTTTTGTTTTAACCTTTTTAACTCATGTGTTTAAAGGCTACTTTTCATTGCAGTTGTGGTTCTATGAGTACTTTCCGAGATTGGCCCCTCAACGGCGTTGCGGAGTGGTCCATGATTTCCTTGGCGGAGCTAGCTGGCGTGACCGAGGTGAGTCACGAGTGGAGTCCGTCTCTACGCTGCGCGGGCTGCTGCGCCGAGGCACCTCTTCTTTTGGTGTAAGAATTTATCTTGCAGCAGTTTATTCTCTACCTTAATGTTATTTTTCGGCATTTATTGCAACTTTTTATGGTTTTCAGGTTGTTGTTGAGATCCAGTAGCAGCCTTGGGCTGGGATGAATGATCTTCCTGAGGCCCTACAGCTTTTCGCGTACCGTATTGTTTTTGTTGGTACTAGACGCTTTTCCTGGTATCTTGGGGAGCGCGTTATTCGTCAGCACATTGCTGATCGTTTTGTGGTGCCTTTGCCTCCGCTGGAGTCGATGTTAGACTCACGTTTGCTTAGGGAGTTGATAAACAGGGGAGAGCGCTACAATTTTCCTTGGCAGGTTCTTGTGCTTATGGAGGGCGATTATTCGCAGGACTTGCTTTCTTCTTTGGCTCCTCCACCCCGTCTTCCCGAGGTATGATTTCTTTAGAGAATTTTGTCGCTTGTCTCTGTTTAAACCGTCGAATAACCTAATTATTCGATCGTATTTTCAGACGACTGTTCGTCGTGTGGGGAAGATTAAGTTCTCGCCTCAATCTGTCCATTACGCGGGGCCGATCGGTATTACTGAGGATGATATTGCTGACGCGCCAGAGGGTTTCTGATAGGCACAGGAGTCTGTGCCTTACAAGTTTGAGTTGGTAAGCTTTTTTACACGTTATTCATCTTTCTCGATACCATTTGTTACTGATTTTTCTTTGCTTTGTTCTCATCCTACGCACTCGACCATGATGGAATTCATGAAGCTAGTTGACACTTTGAAGTATTGCATCATCAAGCTTCGATGTGGCGGGATTTATCGAGGCGGTTCTAGCGATGTTCTCAAGGTATATTCACCCTTTTCCTCATATTTACCATCTGTTCTATCTTGCACCATTGACATCTTTTCATTTTGTGTTTTTCAGGAGCAATGGAGGTCTCGCTCGCGCTCAAGGCACAGAGGCTCGAACGACGAGGAGCCTAGTCGCGACAGACAATCTGCTGAGGTTCGTCGGCATTCTCAGCCTCTGCCTTCTCAGCTGTTTTAGGAGGCTCAGTGGCAGCACTCTCAGCCTTCTCAGCCATTCTAGCATTTTCAGGGTCAGTGGCAGTGGCCTTCATCTTCCCAGCCTTCACAGCCTAAGTTCAGGCCAGTCATTACCTCTGCGGACAAGGGTTTATACTCAATTCCATTGTGTGAGGCACTTCGTCCATCGGTGTAGGGCTTATTTTCATTTCCATTGTCTGGGACGATGCCTCCACCGACGCTTCCTACCTATTGGAGTTATTCTACGCCGTTTGCCAGTTGGACATGTCTTGCTTTGAGTTTGTCTGCTAATGGAGCTATAGGGACTAGTAGAGATACTACTCCTCGTACCCGGATGACGGAGGGACTCTTTGGTCCAGCGTTCCCGTATTCTCAGGCTGAAGATGCCTTGATCCTCCCTCTTCTAGCTCTACAGATTGTTGACCAAGGGTTTTTATTTTGTACTTTGGTTGATGACACTTGACATTGTTTATGCATCATGATTCACTTTGTATATTTTATTTCACAATTTATGCATTTTTTTTGTGTGTATTAGTGCGTGCTTGAGACTCATTGTGTGTGATTGTGTATTTATTAATGACGCGAAAAAAAAAATCGTAAGTGGAGAGTACCGACCTTCCCCAAAAGAAAAAAAAAGGAAAATGAAAAATGGGACAAATTTGACAATTTCCCCAAAATAAAAAAGAAATAAAAAAGAAAATGGGACAAGTTTTACAATTCCCCCAAAATAAAAATAAACACGAAAACGGGACAAGTTATACTACTTTCCTAAAATAAAAAATAATATGAAAATAAAAATAAAAATAAAAATGGTACAAGTTTGACAACTTCCCCAAAATAAAAATAAAAATAGAAATTATAATAAAAATAAATAAAAATAAATGGAGAATTTTATTAGGAATGAAACTCTCGAAGAACACAATTAGAAGATAAACGGTGAAGAAAAAACAATAAAAATCCAGATAAAAATAGGTAAAGGATAAAAATATGAAGACGCGTGGGCACCGTGACACGACAGTGTACACCGTGTAACGGCAAAGCATGCCGTATCGCGGCACTTATGCCCGTGACACGGTGGAATTTCTCGTGTCACGGTGCGTCTGCAGCGGTGTATTTTGTGCGCATAAAAAGATAGATTTTGAGTATTTTCAAGCGTTTTTGGCTATAAAAAAGGACCAGTATATTCGTGATATGCATAATTACGAAACATAAAATAATTAGAATTTCATATTTCAATAATAAAAGTAACGTTCACAAGCACGAGACTTATCGGATTGGAAGACCTTTGTGGACCGTTTCTGCAAGTAACCAAGCTCCTCCTCCCTTATCTAGTACATACAAGGCATGGTTGAATCCTAGATTTAAAAGGGATCGAGTCGGATCACGCAACTTTGATGTGAAGGGACGTCTTGGATATAAGAAGGCGCCTCCTAAAGATCGTCTAGGTCCGAGAACACAAGGAATTGAGTTTAAGACTCCTATAATGCCTAAAAAGAAGAATTATGTGAAAGGAAAGAGTAAGGAAAAGGTGGTCTATAGAGAGAAGCAATCGAAGAATTCTAAGAAAGGTGAAAGGGGTGAAAGTTCAACTAGAGGTGTGACGGTTCGGGCTAAAAAAGACACATTAATGGTGAAGGCCGACCTAGTTGAGAAAGAGATGGAGGCTCCAAAAGTGAAGAAGGATTAGAAGAATATTTCTTTGCTTATATGGTTTATAATTTTTAATTTTTAAATAATGCACATGATGCCAAGAACTGTAGTTGTTTCGGGTGTTGTTTGTATTTCCTCGGATACTTGTCACGCTCTTCTAGCAACAAGTCTGATACACCTGCAAAACAACAAATATTTCATTTATCGGAATATTCGCCTCAGACGATCAAGTCAGTGATCGGAAACGGAAAAGGTTAGAGAGAGAAAGTAGAGAGAAGTTGGAGCTATTAATGCTCTTTTTCTTGTAATGTCTTAATCCACACCTCCCATCATAAATGATTAGGGTATTTCTAGGGGTGGAGCTTGTGCCCCTTTTTAGTGTTTGTATCCTAAAATTGCATGACGTGATTGGCTACGCAATTGGAGAACGCCACGTGTCGCTTTTGGTGTGCCGCTTTGCGGCTTTCAATGATATCTCTTGGGATTAGGGCCCTAATGTAATTAAGCCTCTTTTGTGTGCTGATTTCAGGGGTCATATATGACCTAAACAAGTGGCATTTTCCCGTAACGACACGTGGTACCCTCTCATTAGGCCACGTGTCTCTACAAGATTGGCCTGAGCCCTTGAGCGCTTTTAAGCTGGACGTGTGGCATCTTACATAGTGACACGTGTCACCCTCTAATTGGCCACGTGTCGCTGCGGGACTGGTCCACGTGTACGGGGTATTTTTACCCTCAACATTAGAGTTTTGGTGCGTACGCTTACAGGCCGCCTACTCTGACCTTAACTAGCCTTGGTGCGTACGGGTACATTAGAGTTTTGACGGGCGGCTTTTGTCCGCCTAAAAATTTCAAGCAAACGTCCATCTTTGCGGAGGGAGCGGACAACAGTAGGCCATCTCGTTTTTGGGGAAGTCGGCTGTCTATCCATTATGGAAGGAGCTTTAGCTCTGTCTTCTTATCCACTTATTTTTGGACGTGTCGTTTATTAGGTCGTCTTCTTTTCCGCCTATTCTAACGGCGTTAACCTTCACCCCTTAAGATTATAGGATAAATTTTCAAATTATAACCGTTCAACTTTTTTAGGCGGGAAAGATGAATTTACCATCTTACCCACATAAATATTGCCTATATATACAAAGGGTCTGACCTCATTTTCTAGAGAGAAGTCAAAGATTTTAAAGAGAGAAAGTGTCATTTTCTTTGAATCTTCAAGAGCTCCGCCGTGCCTTTGAGTTTTCTGGGCACATTCTTTGAGATTTCCGGTCAACCTTCAAGACTGTTCAAGTTTTCTACACGTATAGAGGTAGGCAGCCTGTTTTCTTTCCCTTTACTTGTATTTTTGTATTTTAACTCTTTTTTTTTAAAATCTGGCTCAACACTCGGCTTCGTCCGTTTCTCCTCATGAGGTCGGCCGTTCGCGTAGGACTGAGGATTCTATAGTGGACGGAGACGATTTTTCTCCTATGTGGAGTGGGTCCATTTCTATTGCGTACCAACTCACCTCCACCTATTCTTCTCTGTCTCTGTAGTCGAACATGGCGAGAACCATGCAAACATATGATCGTAACGCGGCCAGAATCCGGACCGCAGTCTGGTTAATCCTAGGGTCCCCTATGACCCAAATAACACTGACATTGAGACTGGGTCCACTACTCGGACAACCACCTCCACGGGACCCATCATTCGTCCGTGGAAGTTACTTCTTCCTTCGAGGAGCGCTAAAGGACTCAGGGCGCTTCCACCGCGGTGGGAACGTCCGGGCGAACTCCGGGATTAATGTTCCACCAATATGACAACTTGGTCATGGATGAGGCCGAGTTTCTACTTTGTGAAGGACCTCCTTCCTCTTCCCGGGCGGACGCTAATCCGTCCGTTCCAACCCCTTCTAAACTCCTTCTCCGATATGGCAGGTCGGACAGGCCAAGGAATGGGGTCTTAATTAATGAACCGTCCAACCTGCCTCCTTGAAGTGCCTCTTCTACAGTAGAGGCAGCCGATCTGGATAGAGTGCTGTCTTCTGAGTTTGGGAGTGCTCCTCAACAAGAGGAAGAGGAAGAGTTCGAGAAAGCGGCCGAGGGCGAGGTGGCGGCCAAGGAGGACGTCGCGAATATTGACAACTATAAAGATCCGTACGCCTGTACGGTGGGTAGCACAGCCTTGGGCTACCTAAATGACAAGTTTGAGGCATACAAGGCATTCCTCCACCTTGGGGAGGGATTTGAGATTCAACCTCCAAGGAAGTCAGGTGTTGTGGCTGCTTGGGAGGAAGAGAGGCCGCGTCAAAGGTCCTTTAGCATTTATAGGGCGGCCCTAGACGTTGGACTGCGCTTCCCTCTCCACCCCTTCGTCCACACCATTTTGGACGAATATGACATTGCTCTCTTCTAGGTGATGTCGAACAGCTGGTTGAACATATTTGGGTATTCAATGAAGTGCATCTGCAAAGGCTTCATGCCGGACTTTGCAGTCTTCTGTGAGATGCACTCACTAACCAAGATGGACGCAGACACGGACGGCTGGCTCATCCTGAGTTCCAACAGGGACTACATGATGGTGATTGACCGCGTCTCCAAATGGCGTGCTTGGAAGCACCGATTCTACCGCATCAAAACCAAAGATGTAGAATTTAATTTGCGGATGAATCGGTTTAACGCTAAACCAATTCAGCTTGGATGCGGGGACCTCAAGCCTTATAAGCCACCCATCAACCCCAGCCAAGGGCATCAACTTGAATACTTCAAAGTCAAGAGGGTGAAGAGGAACGACAAAACTGAGCGCGTTCCGAGTAACGTCAATATTATTTATTTTTATTTTTTTTTGCATGTACATAAGTTATTTAAAATTGAAAAACTTTCTAACACTTTCTTCTTTTAATTTTTTAGCTGAGGCGTATAAGATGCTGGACTCAAAACAGAAGAGGGAGGTGAACATGGATGAGATCGACTTGGCCCGCTACAAGGCTCGTCAGAAGTTGTACGATCAATCAAAGGGGGTAAGAACATCCTTTCTACCTCCATTTCTTCTTTTTGCCCGTGTTGGGATGCTGGGAAGGTCCTTTTTTCTGGGTTCTTACGGACATATCGTTCCGTCAGTGTTGGCATGATGGAAGGGATCTCCTTCCTAGCTAGACACGGACACTAACGTATCAACCTGCTCATTTTTAGCTAACTTTCGCCTTTCCTCAGCTGTCGACTCCGACCCCAAGGTCCAAGCGAAGGACGGGAGGTCGTCCAAGCAAAGGAAGACGGTCGCCTCTAAGACCATATCCACCACTGCGGCAAAGACTACGTCGCGGACTGTCTCCAAACAGTCCAAAGGAGAACAACCCCGACTGGTGATAGCGGGGCCTCCAATTCAATGGATCCGGCCGCCACGCCGGTTCAGGATAAGTCCAAGAAATCAGACAATAGGGGTAAATAAACCCTGGAAAAACCGACCGGGCAAGAAGTGACTCCGCCCGTACAAAGAGTTTAAGAATCTGATTGGCTTGAAGCCTTTTAGTCCGTCGGCGACCAGCCTGGCCGTACGGGTGAGGGGGGTGACAAGCCTGTGCCGCCTCCGTCATTCACCTCCAATCCCCTTAACCCTCGGAGCTTCTCTGACGGTAAGTTCGAGTAACTTTGCACATTTTATTTTGTTCATTATAAGCCCGATTGTGCTTAAGCTATGATCTTTGCGCCCGCGTGCAGATATTGCAGTGGAGCTACACATGAAGTTACCCGGCCAATCCCTTACTTGCGCGGACGAGAAGGCCATGAGGGAGGTCATGGTTAGGGGTGTCCTCGCTGAGCAGCGAGACAAGCTGCGGGGGATTCATGAGGGCTTCCTTGGCCCAATGATCAATTGCAGTGCTGAGGTAATTTTTCTTTCAACTTTCAGTTTTAGTTAATTTTTCACTCTC